GGCTCCCTGCTCGGCGGGGAGTCTGCTTCTCCCTCTGACCCTCCCCCCTCTCATGTACTCGCTCTCTGTCTCAAATAAATAAATAAAATCTTTGAAAAAAAAAAAAAAAAGAAAGGGATACACAGTTTTTCCAACTCCTTCCAGCAGACAGTTGGACATAAAAGGCCACTGACTTGCACCAGTGGTTCTCAGACAAGCTGGAATGTGTTAGAAATGCACACTCTTGGGCCCCCAGGCCACACCTGTTCAGGCAGGGCCTCTGAGAGGGAGTCACCGGCCTGCACCATGGCTACACACTGAGCAGGACTCCAACCAGAAGAGGACCGACCATCCACCTCCCAATGCCACCTGCTTCCAGCTCCAGGACCCACCAAGTTTGCTGCATCAAGACCAGTCACAGTGACAAACTTATTCAAAGAGAAAAGAGCAAGGCCCAAACAACTCTTAATACTTAGGAGACACAGAGCCCAAGAAGAAAGCATTTTAAATGGGTAACATTGTAAATTTCTCCATTTGTCCACAGGCTGGCATATGTCAACTATTATTTAAAAACAAAGAACTCTCAGGTGGTTAGTCTTCCCCAGAAAAGGTTCCAGATCTTATTCTTCCACTGCATTTGGGGTGAGGCAGAGTGGGAATCTGAATCCCATGAGGTAAATGCAGGTCTCCTCCGTTCCGTAACAGCTCAGTAAGGAGCAGGAGGTCAACACAAGACTTCTGTTCCCTATTCTCTTTCAAAGGAACTGTCTGTGGACACAGAGAGCTGCTTTTGGCCAGCAGCCTGACTCTACGGCTTGAGGTCCTGCAGGCCACTGCTGAGTCCTGATGGACAGCAGGCGCTCCACACGCCTGGGCAAGAAGCCACTGCTGAAACAGCAGCAGCAAGGACACTGGACTCCCACCCTTCACCCTGCTCCACAAGCCTCGGCGAAAGGAAGTTCTCTGTGCCCTTATTTAAAATCCAAGCTCCCCTGGTCTGTCCTGTCTTCTCTACTAGTTTATGTCACAACATTCATAGAGAGCTACGTGCACAGGACTCTTGGCTTCTGTCAGACACACAGGCACACCACACACACGCCCAGAGGAGGGCACTGCCACTGGACAGATCTGCTGAGGCACCCCTCCCAGGGGCATTTCAGCAGGTGGGTACCAGCACCCAAACCTCCTGTTACCTCTAGACCACACCCAGGTATCTACACACGACAAGGCAGGAGTATTTCTCTCTAGGTATTTACAGAAACACTAATCTGCCCAAACGGCTCCTCCAGTGGGATCCCATGAGAGCTAACACCCACAACCACTCGCCAGGTACCCTACAGTACTATCAGGTTTCCTGTAAGTTTAGAGATGCCTTGGTGGTTTAGTTGGTAAAGAATCTGCCTTTGGTTCAGGTCATGATCCCAGCGTCCTGGGATCGAATCCCCCATCGGGCTCCCTGTTCAGCGGGGAGTCTGCTTCTCCTTCTGCTGCTCCCCCTGCTTGCGCTCTCTGACAAATAAAATCTTAAAAAAAAAAAAAAAGGTTTCCTGTAGTCTAGAAATGCAAACATCTCCTCACACAAAAAATTAAAATTGTAACAGTCGGAACCAAAACATGGAACACTGTCATTCATAAAAGGAGAGCAAAGGATCTTCGCTCTTGATATTTGTACCCTATTACCCGCGGAGGACACTGCTTACCATTGTTCACCTGGCCATGGACGGCGGCAGGGATTGGCACCACGTGAGTCCCGTTTTGCGTTACAGTTTTTATTGGTAGCTGGTGCTGACCTAGAGGTGCCTGCTGCACTATGGTAACCGTCTGGACTGGGGTGGTCTGTGGCGTCTGAATGATCCGGCTAGCAGCGCCCAGTGTGGCATGGCTAATCGCAGGAATAGGTTCCACTTTCACTGAAATTTAAAAAGGCAAAGAAATGATACCAACTGATATTACTGGAAAGCTTACAGAAATCTCACCGGGTGGCCAGCAAACCTAAGACATGACATGATTAGAAAAGGTGTCAGGCGAACAAGTCTGCTGGGCATCTGAGAGCCTGAGAAACCACCCGCAGCAACTACTTCTGTTGCTCACCTTTTACTTCTTTGTGATCTCCATTCTCTTGCGGCTCTGCCTTAGGAGGGGCCAGCATGGCCGCCTGAGTGACCACGGCCTGGCCGGCGACAGTGTACGTGCTCGCTGGGGCCAGGCCGGCCACGCTGGTGACGGACACCGCAGGGATCTGGTGGACGACGTGCACCGTCTGCACGACAGGCTGCTGGGAGGTCGAAGTGGTCACGGGAGCAGCGACTGTGTAGGTGACAGGCTTGATCGTTGGCGGCAGCTGCCGCTGCACGGCAATTAAAACGGGCTGACTAGACAGAGGCGAGCCTGTAGCGGACAAGGGAGCAGCGGTGAAGTGCAGTCGCCCATGTTCCTCCAACCGTGTCCCAGAGCTGACCAAGTACAACCACCCACTCACAACACACAGACTAATGAGAGGACGTGCCCCCTTTCACCTTGTAACAGTGAAGTCACACACGATGGGAGAAATGGAGTATTTTAATGGAGATACCTAATTCATGTATCTAACTGCAAAAAATGCAATTCTTGCTCTATTCAGATCTGTTACAACACCTCTTTCCACAGTTCTTTCCTCACGAAAAAGAAAATGTCGACACAGTATATGGGAAGAAGCTACCTACTGAGGCCCAAACAAGGGGGCCATGCTCCCCCAGGATCAAAGTCTTTATCTTATGGTAGGTGCAAGGGAACCGCAAAGTCCAGACACAGTTACAAACTCTGCCAACCAACCCCTGCTCCTTCTGGTTTGGGCACAGAATAAAGGAAAAGACACCCGGGTGACAGGAGTTACACATGGGTGACATGTTGTCAGCATGGTCAGGAATCCCACTATCAAAATGCACATCTTGCAAGCCAAACAGGAACCATTAACAGAATTAGTTCAGACACATTTCCATGCTATGTTATTTCTTGTTTTTTGTTTTTAAATTCTCCAGAGCACGCATTTTTATTCTGCATTGCGACTTCGTAATGAAATGCTCACCTATTCATTAAGTGAACAGTTTCTGCTGTGAATCAGTATCTAGTTTGTCTAATTTGTGTTATTTCTTTGCGTGGGGGATTTTTTTCATAATTTTTGAATGACAAAGGAACTAAGAAACAGATTAATTCTAAATTATTTTAGGCATCTACACAAGCTATTTACATAAAACAATGTTCACTGATTTTTTAGATACTCACAGTGCTATTAGCTTTTCAGAGCTTACAGTAAGCATGCAGGTACTATGCAGAAAGTACCAGGTACAAAGGAGCCAAGGCCTCTGCTGCATTCCTTCTGAGGAGCCTGGCGCCCCTACCTTTCTGACCCACCCCCTTGCCCACCATGCCTGCCCTGTCTCTGCACATCTCACCTGGTGCACTCTGGGCAAACCGTGCCTCCTGGATGACGGCCAGTTTGGGCTGCGAGGCGCTGGGCTCAGGCTCCAGGGGGGCTGGTGAACCTTCCCTCGACAGGCTCTCGGGAGTCTGGGCACCACTGGAGTGAGCAGAGAGCACTCCAGCGTGATTGGGAGAGGCTGGGGCACTTCTGGATTACCAAAAAGAAGACAGTGGATTTTTACAGGTAAAGCACTCATAAAGCTGCCTTGTTTCAATAAAGTGCATTCCGAAAAAAGGGGTGTCATCTGTCTTCTGCCAACCGACTACAGCTCTGTAAGTCCTACTTTCTGTGTGAATGCCCGTGACCTGAGACAGATCCCCAGCGAGACTCACTCAGTTGTGACAGCCAGTGTGGAGTGCTGGGCGACCACAGCTCCATGCCCAGCACAGGCTGCACCGCCGCGGAGGTGGACTGGCTGCCCTCTCGAAGCAGCTCCTGTCCACCGGCATCAGGAGCCAGCAGTGCGCAAGGAGGCAGGGGCTTAAGATTTACGTCATGGTCATTTTGTTTGTTAAAAACAGAGTATCTATAAGCTAAAAATGTATAATTTGAAAATCAGGCAATTAACGTTGTATAAGTCAACCTTGAATGCGGCTTTAAAGAGCTGTTCACATGCCAAAGGAAAGGAACACACACTGCTCATCAAACGCAATATGTAAGGAGTCCGATGAAGCCACAACGGCAACATGGGAACACAGCTTAAAGAAAAGTTCATCAACAATCTGAACTGTTTCAGACCACTATTAAGAAAAAGTCCCTGGGTAGCATCCAACACTTCTTTTCAAATCCCCACCCCAAACATTTAATCATAATGCATTTGGCAATTCCTTCACTTGCAAAAGGAAAATTGACCAATACATGGAAGGTAAATTCACTGACCAGTAAGTGAGGTCTTTTTGTTTGTCTTTTTTCCTTACCTAGAGGAGAGCGGTCCCAGAGGGGTTCTAAAGCAAGGCACGCCCCTAGGCCGTCTTTTCCTAAAAGCCTGCTCTATTAATTTGCTTTCAGAGGCAGGATCTATCCTCCAGAATGAGCCTTTGCCTGGTTCTTCCTGGGAACGTGGTACTTTGATGAAATAACGATTCAGAGAGAGATTGTGGCGAATTGAATTCTATGAAACATAAAAAAATACGTAGAATTCATATATTTCTTTGCTGAGAAATCAAAATGTGCCCCAGTTTTAGTGCCCTGCAAAGCAGAAACCTAGCACTCAGCCCTTGCAGAGGGCAGACAACTTTAAAAGCAGCACTGTGCTGGAAGGAACCAGCCCTTCTCCCCTGAGTGAAGAAGGGGCTCGGGGTGTTTCCCCTCCACCGGAGGCTGACACGCGGCTCTGGGAACAGTGTGGCAGGGTGGCCACCAGGGGCAAGAAGGGGACCTGGGGAACAAGGAAGGGTGGGAAATCGACACCAAAGGGAAGGAGGCAATTTCCAACAGGAAAAATGTCAACTTCCATCTTTTTTCCAGGTAGGAAACCAAGGATTATCACTGTTGTCATCTGACATTTCCTGCGGGCCTCTCCCTTCTTAGAGATGAACAGAGCCAAAATAAGCCAATCCTTTAAAATCTTTTTGAGCACAGAATTAGCTTATAGGAGTCTGTCACAGCCATCTAAAATGAATTAATCCAGTATCAAGTATTCAGTAAACCAGCAAAGGAGAAATATGAGCTAAAGGTTGGGAAGTATTATAGACACCATCTTCCGGTAACAAGAGAACTTTCCAAAATGCTTCCATATCGGTTTTTTAAATTTGATCCACAAAATAATCTTGTGAGGCACATACAGAAAATTTCTCTCTCAACCCCTACTCTACTCTGTTACAAAAAGCTTGGCTCACAGTTTACAGACGATTTCAGGAAAGCTCCCGCTGCAACCTGAATAACTCTTGGCAGCACACCTGATCCTGAGCCCTCCAAAAAGTCAGGAACAGCTAGAGGAAAGTCATGCATCCACATGATTTCATGTGTTTACATTAACGTTTAAATTTAAAATTAAAAAAAATTAAACTACTAAAGTTTCAAAATGGTGGTAACTCAGAGTAAAATTCTGGGCTATTCAAAAATCACTTTAAATTCCCCCCAATTAACCTTCGAACAGAACTGTTAGCCACAGCCTGAAATACTGCATTTGCCAGAGGTGGCTCAGAAATCAAAATGTATCAAATTCTACTTTACAGCCCGTCTCGGGGACTGTTCAAGTGTCGCACCAGTCATGGGCTGTGATAAACACCACGTGGAAACCAGTCACCTCGCTGGCAACATGAAGGTGCAGGCTAGACTGTGTCTGTGTTTTGTGAAATTGTTTATAAATAAATGCATTCTGTGAGATTTAGAATATTTTAATAACCACAGATACTTACTACTATGTTTTATCACAGGGTTTAGCTAATAACCAACAATACCTTTCTATTAATTCCTCCAGAAAATCGAACTGTTACTGGTGCCTCCACCAGAGAAAGAAGACAATCCTCCTCCAAATACATGCAGACATTCTGTGTTTGGAGGAGAAAGAAGGTAGACTCCAAGACTATGGGTTGAGAAAAGCAAACCCAGACCATGACACTCTCCCTGTGAACAAGACAATCCTTACGACTGCCCAGTGAGGGTCAAGAGGTCCTCAGAAGTGACCGCCAAGCCGCAGTGAAGGACGTGGGAGGTGAGGAGCCCCCGCCAAAGGCTGTTAATCCTGTAATGTGGTGTTGCTAGGAGGAAAAAGGAAAGTGAGCACAGGGGGCATCTGGAGGGAGGAAGTGCCACTCCAGGGGACTATGGACCCTCACGCCACCGACAAGCTGTATGCAAGTTCTGAGAGGAAGGAGTTGGTATTTTCTGTCCTGAAAATGCGACAGAACCTATTAGGCACCATCACAACAGGGTCTAACCTCCTCTCCACTCACAATGAGCCTACAGAACAAAGAAGCTGTGATATTCTAGCCAAAAAGACTAGAAAATGTGAGTAAGTAGTAAGAGGTATCTAATGCAGACAGAGATGGAATAAAGTAACTGTATTTCTAAGGTAATTTAAGACCTTTGTAATCTGATCAAGTCAAGCTACATATACTAAAATCACACTGACTTGGACTCTAATGATTCAGAAATTATTATATGCAGAGAAAAGGCAGCTTGTTATTCTTTATAATGAACTACAGAGAAAAGGATCTGCAATACTGAGCACATTCTCTTCCCCCCAAATCCTCCCCTACTCAAGGCTGCTTCCCAGAACCCTGAACAACAGCCCCTCCTCCCTCCCGGCTCCTCAGCTGACCCAGACCCAGGGGAAAGGTGCAGAGCTGGTCACTGTCCTCCATGAGCACCTCTGGCACTCCTGCCTAGACTCTAGTTTCTGTCTGTTTGTCCCAATCACACTGAACGCTCTACTAAGGACTCATAAAGAAACTGATGAGGACATGTCAAGTACCTTCCAGAAGGAGAGTTCAATGTGCAGAATGAGGTGAACCCAAAGCACTCCCGCTATTTCAAGAAACCAGCTCTGGTCCTTTCAGAGGCCCAAAGGCCCAAAATTCAAATCTTCTAATCATAACAAGTACCTCTACTCTGGGCTGGGTAAAATTATAATTATAAACAATAAGAAAACATTCTGGCATAAATAAGCAACCAAAGGAAAGAAATATGCCATCATTCCAGACACAGTCAGATCTTGTTTTATTCTAGAGTTTCTTCTAGACCAATCAAAAAGCTTTGCCATGGGTAGACAATGCAAAATACCAAAAGTAAGCCTGAAAGGTAGCTGTGGACTTCCATTAGGTACTCAGAACAGGCATGGCGGGAGTGTCAACACACACATCTCTTAGGAACTGATGCAGAGCACGGGGCTCAAGCCCACCAGGTCCCATTCTCCCTGCACAGCCACCTCCCTCACCCCACAGGGGAGGGCAGGAGGCAGTCTGGAAACCCACATTTTTTTTTTTTTTAATTTTTAAAAATATTTCTTTATTTTAGAGAGAGAGAGAGCACAAGCTGGGGGAAGGGGCAGAGGGAGAGAGAACCCTAAGCAGACACCCCGCTGAGTGCGGAGCCCAACACAGGACCTGATCCCACGAGCCCAACACCATGACCTGAGCCGAAATCAATCAAGAGTTGGACGCTTAAACAACTAAGCCATCCAGGAACCCCTGGAAACCCACATTTTAAAAATGGGCTGTTTTAGGTGACAGTCTTCCCCCTACTCTCTATGCAAAGAAAATCCTAGCAAAGAAAACAGATCGGGCTCTTTTATGAAACAAGGCTGCAAAATGGAAAGGCTTTTTTGTTTTAAGCCAAGAGTGAGGAAATGGGAATAAGGTCTCCATACATACAAAGACTTTAAACATGGTCTCTTTGGGAAGGGTACCTCAGAGAATTCTCATGACAGAAAAAGGACACGTGTGGGTCAGTACTGGGGACAGCTAAGGACCTCTGAGGACAGAAAGAAACTGAGTGCATGCACATAAATTAAAGGGAGGCGTGCAGCAGGAAATCCCTTTCCTGCTAAAATGCTGGAGCCAGGAGGTGCGAAATGTCTCAGGAGCAGCCTGACATGGGCAAGAGGCGCACAGTCACCCTTACGGACCTTGATCTAGACAGAAAAGATGTTTCAATAAAAAAATTAATGACAATTGAACAGAGAGGGTGCCTGCCTTGCAGCAGTTACGTCTGTTCTCTCCGCTCTCAGCATGCTACGAAGTCACTTCCAGCGGCCAGGGGCAATCAGTGCACGTGGGGACCGCACCTGACCCGACTAACTCCCCACAAGACCGAAGCCAGGAGGAGGCCACCCGGGAGAGCTGGCCTTTGCCCTTCGGCCAGAAAACCACATGATGCTTGGAGGCAGTTCTCGCATCAATGGATGTTAAGGAAACACAGGGAAAGAGATTATTCAAAGCCTGGCCAGGCTTTTCGGAAATACTCACTCCCATTAAGCCCAGCTAACTGCTGTTTCCAATCACCAGAATTCTGCACAGAATGTGCTGTACGAAACCCTACCACACTCCTGACAGGGCATTCTGAAACCTCACCTGCCCACACATAGGAGCTTTGTTCCAGGTACAATCACCAGACACGGACATAGATTATCATCTGGTTCTGCTTCCTCTGCTTTACATTTTCTCTGAAGCACAACCTCACTGTTCTAGATTAAAATATGGTCAGTATCACAAGGATTTCTTGTCCAATGTGCTGAGAGACCTGCCAGGTAGCTGGATATCAAAGTGTTCTCCAAATCCAGCATTTTCCTCACTGCCAACTAAGAAATGCCACCTAGCCGTGCACAGGGAGGCAAGCAGGGTGCAGATGCCCCAGGCTGGGAGGGGAGGGTGGGTCTTACTTTGTACCTTCCACAATCAAAGACCCTTACATGACTAAAGACCCCTTACAAAGGAAATGTTCAGGATTTGGCTGATGGACTATTTTTATTATAACATGTTTATATGTCTACAGGAGGAAGAAAAAAGTTTTTTGCCCCTCATTAAACAGAAAAAGGTTCCCCCCACCTCCATCACTAGGTTATGGTTATGGTTCAGCAAACACATTTCTCAAAGGATCATTTACTCACTAAGCCTGAAAGGAAGACTGTTGCCATTCCTTGTGACTTAATGAATTCAAGAACTGCAAACCAATGTTTCTTCTTCTATTATGTTTTTAATATTCTGTATTTCAGATTTGCCTTTCCCATATTGCCTGAATTAGAGAGATCCTACTATACATCCAGTAAGCAGACACACAGAACACAGACACACAGAAGAAGAAAAAAACTACAGTGTCAAAGTTTAAAAACTAAACTAAACTAAAAAGCTGAACAAGGAAATATGCACTGATTTTTCAGAGTCCTCTGAGAAGGCCCAGGTTCCAGACAGCCCAGGGATGATCTGAAAGCACAGGTGCACAAGCAGGAGGGCTCCCCAATTTACGCAGGGCAGCACCATATTTATCTGTGCTCATGTATGGCCCAATGGGAAAAGGTCTTTTGAAGAAAGGGTTCCTTGATAAAAGTCTGAAAACCATCTCTGTGTAGACTTCGAGAAGCTAGGTACGCCAGCAGATGCAGATAAGGAAGACAAAAGAAAGCCTAAGCGAAGGGCTGGGTTTTTAACTTTCCTTTACTTCAGACACAGGGAGTTAACTGCAATGGTTGAAGGGAAACCTTTCAAATAATCCATGCCTTTCCCATCCGTGGGGACAGTGACCATAAAAACCACAGGCTGAGGTCTGCTTCTAGAGCCACTATTCCTTCTGCTCCGCGCGGAGGTCAGAGCGTGGGGACAGTGGCCTCCAACACTTCCTCCTCCCTTAGCCAAAAAGGGTCTCCCTCTACCTTTGCCCTGTGCCCAAGGTACGGGAAGCAGCTTAAATGTTCTCTCAGTTGTCAATCAGCATCTACCCACATATCACAGCAACATTTCATAACAAACCGAAACAGATTTACCTGCCAGCCCTTGTCCGCTGTCCTGTAGTATGGATAATTTTTAGTGATGTGAGTATAAATTCCATTTAGAGTAAGCTGCTTATCAGGAGCCATCGTAATTGCTTGTACGATTAATTGTGCATAGGAATAAGGAGGCTTTGAATCATCCTGTATTTAAGTTAAAAAAAAGAGATTATTGAAGTTATCAAAATTTTCACTTAAGTTCACTAAAATTCAGGATTGTTGATGTTTTCAAGTGTTCCTCTGAAATGCTTAGTTTTCCTTACTATGAAAACAATATAATCTGATTGAAAAGCATTTGGCAAGTTTATAGGAAGCAAATGGAAAAGTGTACAAGCAGTGTAAAAACAAATATTAAAACCACGTAAGGAGAAACTCCACACGGCAAATATGAAAAACATAAGGAAAACAAAAAAGCTTTTTGACCTCAGTAGAGTCCAGGGCAACACATGTTAAATCATGGCCAGAGGCCTGTCACATGGATCTAGCAATCAAGTGAAGAGTCAGGATGGTGAGGGGAGGAGACTCCCTCCCAGGCCCTGGTGGGTCCTCACACACACGAGGGCCAAAGTGACAGCCACTCAGAACCGCCCCATCCCATCAACAGAGAAGCTCCTCACATTAGGAAACCCCACAGAGGGGAGCACCATATGTCAGACATCGGGCTCCGACCCTGGCGTCTCAGGCACTCGGGCAGGCGCCCGAGTGTGCAGGGCCGCTGTGCACACCGCAGAACATGGACATCCCTGCTTCCAGCGCACTCCAGGCCACAAGTGGCTCCTTGTCACTGTAACAGCTCAGAACCCCACATACATGTGCATAATAAGCCCACTGGGGAGAGGGTCCACCCCTGGTTGTGAACTGGAGAATGTACGAATCAACTTAAATGAACCACGAAGCATAATAGTGAATGCAAACAGGAAGCTGCAAAAGAATATATTCAAGACAATACTTGTTACATGAGGTTTAAAAAATGAGCAATTTAGACATTGCTTAGGGATAAACACAAACGGAGTAAAAGAAGAGACAAACAGAGGACTGACAGACAGACAAGGCAGGAAGACAGACCTGCTAAGGAGAGGAACATGGGCTTTAGCTGCCCAGGCCATGCTCCGTCCTGACAGCCAGCGGTGCGGACATGTTCCACGAAGAAAGACAGAATCATCTACAACCCCAGCACCCCACTTTTAAATAGCTAGTATTTCCTGAGCACTTACACTGGGCTCTGCCCCATCTGTCCTGAGTGGACACACTCTGAGCTCTACACAAAAGGGCCAGGCAGACTGGCACCACTGGAGACCACCCCAGGGACCAGGAGAGAACACGAAGCCTTCTTCACTGCGCTTATGCCATTCAGTGTGTTTCCTTGTTAACCTTTCTTCTATATGTTCCTAAAAACTTTTTTTACTGAAAAATGTAACACAGACAGGAAAGCCCATAATACATCCTTATCAGCTGAAAACAAATTTTTATAAAGTGAATGTCAGTACAACCAACACTAGATCAAGAGAGAACACAGCCCACATTCCAGAAGCTTCCATATGCCCCCTGAGCCCACAGCCTCTACCATTATTCATGATATTTTATAGTGATCACAATCTTGTGACTAATTACAAGTTTTATCATCTCAGAATGCACCCTGAAAAAATACAATTTAGTTCTGACTGATTTTAAATAGGCAAATGGACAAAATGGAATCCTACAGAGGGGTGCCTCTTTGTGCCTGCCTCCCCTGCCCAGCACACCTTGTGTACGAGGCTCCTGGCTGCAGCAGACAGGCTTGGCTACGGTACATTCATTCCATGGCCATGCCGTGTTCTACTGCGCAAATACATCACATTTTATACACAAGTAATTAAAATAATATTATGCATTGCTTTATGCTTTTCACTCAGCATTATGCCAAGGACACTTCCACGTTGTTAGCTATGTTGCATGATAGTCCCCTGCTTGATCATTCTTCTCTTATGGGGCACTTAGGCTGCTTTAAATTTTCTATTTTATATAAACTTATGTTTGAGATTTTTGCCATTTCCTTTAGACACAGTCCTAGAAGGGGCATTCCTGGGTCAAAGAATAAAAACATGCAGGGTCACAGCGTGGACCATCTCAAAAATGTGTGTTCTGTGCACACATGCATTCAGACAAAGTGCACGCACAACCTTCCACATCTGTGACAGCAGGACGAAATCCCAGGAACAGATTCCTGGGCCACAGTGCACATCTCCTTGTGAGCACCACAGGCTTCTCTTGTCTTTCACCGGCTCAGCTCTCAACACCTGGGTCCACAGCTGCCAATGGGGAGCACCCAGTGCTAAATGACCAAAAGAATTCAAGACCCCCACCCCAAGAACATGCTCAATAGGGAGGGGCCCCACAACCAGCCATCCATCCACTCTGACGTGCACTTCTCAAAGGCCCTGGTCGGGGTGTTCATAGACCTGCAGATAATGAAGTGAGGATAGCTGGCTGTGTTATGGCCCCTGGGTTCTGTTTCAAGGCTATAAAACATTTACCTTTGGGCTGTCTCCACCAGAAGCTTCCTTTTCATTCTCTGGCTGTGAGTTGTCGGCCATTAAATTGAGGTCAGCTGGTATCACACGGCCCATTTTGTACCCCGAAGACCCTGCTCCCCGAGGGCTGGATGGGCAGGAGTTTGCAGCACTGTGGATGGGAAAAGGTCACTGCTATCAGTCTATTACAGAACATATGTCACACTGTGCTTCCATGACCCGTTCTAATTTCAAGTACAAAACAGGAGCATATCAGAATTTCCTATGGAACATGGCCTCACTAGTTCTCTGTGAAGGTTAGGGTCACTCCAGGAAACACATGGAAATCACGTATCTGCTGCACATGTGTTATTTTACATAATCAGAAAACAAACTCTCAAAGGGGGTGGTGGTCCACCTGTTTCACCAGTGAGGAAACTAAGGCTCACGATGGTTCTGGAACTTACCAAGGACACAGAACCAAAAGTGATGGCCCCAGGGCTCCAGCCTGGCAGAGGGACACAGAGCACATGCTCCGCTGACTCCCTTCCCATCAAGGACATGGCCTCCAGCTACACCAGAAAGGTCAGGGACAGTCTGGAGAGAGAGGAAGGCGGCCAGGCCAAGCCCAGGCAGCACACAGAGGGGATGAGGCCGTGGACATGGACCCAGGCAGCATCAGGCCCTGGAGCACATGTGTCAGGTCAGTTGGACACAAGACACCCCAAACAGAGAAACAGGAACCTGTTTTTTCCCGATTATTTATTTATTTATTTATTTATTTATTTATTTATTTATTTATTTATTTATTTATTTATTTTTAAAGTAAACTCTACCGCCAACATGGGGCTGGAGCACACAACTCCAAGATCAAGAGTTGCATGTTCTATCGGCTGAGCCAGCCGCACACCCAAGAAACCCATTTTTAAAAACGTGTGCTTTTTTTTCACCAGGCAGGGCTGGGGTGCTGCTTCTTGATCTCGGTGATAACTGAAGGCCATCCATACTCATCTGTGGTGATTCCCCAAACCGCACATTTGAGCTCCTGTTCCCTTTTCTATGCAGGACCAGACTTTAAAAAGAGAATGAGCCACGGAAGCAGGACACCAAGGTAAGACAGTCTAAGAAATCCATCCAGTTATACAACAGTATGTGCGGTTAGATCGGAGTTGTATTTGGGGGGAGGGGAAGACAAGTATTGCAAATATACAGAAAATTTCTGGAAAAAATACCTAAGAAACAGGAGTTACCTCCAAAAACCTGAGCTGAGAGTGGAGCAGGAGAGGCAAGGGGAGGGGGCGACACGCTCCTGGCCTGGCACCCTCCGCAGCAGTACCAGCCGCTCCCCCAGGAGCACGCACTCACTGGATGGGTGTTTACTTCAGGTCAGGAACCACTCTCAAAGTACCGGGAGAGGAGTGGCAGGACTGCGCGGAACCTACACTTCACCGTCTTGAAGACTAGCTAACGTGTAAGTGCTGACGTGGGGAAGGTGAGTGGCCCTACAGGGCTGGACGCTGGGTCTGGAAAAGGCAAGTCGGCTGTGTCACCATAGGCCGTCCACAGTCAGGCTCCCACATGGCTGTCTTGCCCAGTGAGGGCACTACACCACTCAACGCTGGCCACAGTGTGAGGGACCGGGGCGTGAGGACGGATGACGAGCAAGGAAAGTAAGAGGAAGACAGAGCAGAAGGCGAGGAGAGGCTGGGTCAGGAGCTGTTTCCCTCCCCTCCCCCCCCGGCCCCCCGAGTGTCCACGCCGCTTGTCTAGTGAGTTGGGGTGCCACCTCCACGGCTGCTCTCCCACTGTGGGACACAGGGCTTGCTCCTCTTCCTCTGTGAACTAGCGTACTTTCACACAGTGCTGAGCAATAATCTGGCCACGCGGCTGCCGGCAGCTGCCTCTGCACGGACACAGTGGCTGTTTGGTCCACACAGTCACATGCAGACGCAGTCAGCTAAGTGGGACAGCCAGCAGAGCAGCCACAGGAGGAGGCAGGGGAGGGAGGGGCCGACGGCCGCTGCCACGCAAGACACCAGGCCTGCGGCCGCAGGAACACAACCAGTCCACTCACCACTCCCTCCACTTACAAATAAACCAACACACACAGCCTCCCAGAAGGCCTACTGCTGATGCTCACTTTTAAGACAGGAAATAGAAGTGTTCAGCTGAAAGGCATAAGCCAGAGCCTCCAGTTCTCCGTGTGCCCTCCCTGGCTCTGCCACACGCATCGTCAGCTTGGGCAGACGAGACAAACCCCACCCCGCCGCCCAGCCGTGCCCTGGACAGACCTGGACGGCAGGGGCCTGATCAAGAGAGCAGCATGGTGTTCATTCTGCACCTCCATCTCCATCACTCACAGCCAAGATCACTCCTCCCCTCTTCCGAGAGCCAAGAGAACCTAGCGGACTGACACCTCACAGCAGAGTTCCACCTCAACCACACGCAGCAATCTAACCTGCTCCAAGCACACACGTCAGCACGATCCTGTGGCTGTTCTTGACCTGACCCTCGGCTACTGTCCCCTGAGAGCTCAGCACAACCTGACCATTGTACTCTGGCTTCTGGCTTCTGCACCGACAGTGTGCCCCAAAGCCGCTCACCTCTGCTCCCTAAAACACCCAGTCTCTCTTAAGACATGACGAACACAAGTTTGTCGCTTCGCTGTGATCAAACTCATCAATCTGAAGTATAAGTCATCAGAATTTACATGAAATTGCAGCAAACTCGGGGTGCCTCAGACGGTTAAGCATCTGCCTTCGGCTCAGGTCATGATCTCAGGGTCCTGGGATCGAGGCCCACATCGGGCTCCCTGCTCAGTGGGGAGCCTGCTTCTCCCTCTCCCACTCCCCCTGCTTGTGCGCTCTCACTCTTTCTGTCCAATAAATAAAATCTTAAAAATAAAAAGAAATTGCACCAAACTAAAAAATCTCAAAATGCAAATGAAAACATATCTCAGAGTTTAGACCAAAATGGTAATCACCTGCCCCTTCAACTTAAACTCAAATACAGAGAGTCCCTAAGTGAAGACCAAGAACATTTGGGAACTGTGTTTCACACGCAGGAAACTGGGAGCAAAGGGTGTTCGAAAACTGAATGGCATGTGCAGCGCCCTCACACCTCCCTCTCCGCGTCGTGTCCACCCCAGAAGGGAGCGGCACTGCTATGTGCTCCTGCCCGTTACTGTGACTTATGACGGCTTCTGCAAGTCCCAAGGCAGGAGGTGAGGAACGAAACTGGGATGTGGTCATGGACGGCTCAGCAGGCACGCCCCTGCAACCCGACCCTATGGTGACCCCCACCCACCACGTAAGCTGCTGTACCTGATGGTTCCCGTGGGGGAGGGAAGGGGACTGATGAGGTGGGCCATGGTGTCTGGAATGTTGATGGTCAGGGGCGAGATGTGGGCCTGCACAGGCTTCACCGGGGATTCGGGGGCCTCCTGCTTCTCTCTCTTCTCACTGGACAGGGCAGTGAACGTGATCTTGATGTTTGTGCTCGGGAACCTGAACGTGCACCTGAAAAAGAAAAGCCAACTGTCAGCACCTGTCTGCCAGACTGGAGGATGGGGTGTCCCACCCGTAGCAGGACACAGAGCCCAAGTGTCCCCAAATGCCACTGGAGCTTCATCTTCTGTGGAGAAGCCCCCGAGAAGCCCACTTCAAGCTCCCCGCATGTGTTACGATTCGCTTAATGAATGAAACCACAAAAAGGCATTTCATGACTTTAAAACACTAGTAAATAAATACGTTCTTTAGACCAGCCAAATATAAGGAGAAAAAAGACTCAAACGTGACTTAATCTGCATTATTCCTTTGCAAATAAATACACAGGTCTATCTGGGTCATTAAGCAACGTAATTTTGTGGCTGTTTCTTAATTAAGAAAGAAAAATCATTCCTTTTGAAGAATCCTATCACCTTTTTTTTTTTTTTTAAAGATTTTATTTATTTATTTGAGAGAGAGAGTGAGAGAGAGAAAGAGCACAAGAGGGAGGAG